TTTTAATATGAATATTAGTAAGTAAACTAAACTTTCTTTTATGATTTACATCTTGTAGATTGTCTGAATGAAGAAACAGTTACATTATTAATAGCATATATTAGTTCTGCAGACACGTGCATGAAAGAAACAATGAATACTCTTCGTTATGCATTAAGAGCTCGTTGTGTTAAAGGTGAGTTTCCTTAAAAATTAAGAATATTTAATAGAAAAAATTTATTATTATTAGAATAAAATTTTTGTAATAATTATTTTCCAAAATGTTGGTGGATGAAATGCCAAGATTTTCATAAGATCCACTCAAGTAGTAAAGTCAATTTTTCTGATTAGTTGTGATGTTCCTGAAATAAATAAATTGATGAGCTTTCGGACAGTTTTAACGTATAAAAACTGAAATGATCATCATATTTCTTTTCTTGCATATCAACATAGCTAATATTTGTAGATTAAATAATTAATTTCAGAAGTAGTCTGTCAGGCATTTATAAATGAGTAATAACAATCATGTTCTGAAGGAAGACAGAATTAACAGAGCAGGATCACCAGTCAAAAGAGAATTTATGGCAAATAATGTAGCTGAAAAAATAATAATAGTAGGATAAACATTTACTGCATTGAGTGAAAAGTACAGATATTCACTGCTTAATGACATTTTAAAGAATTATGAAAAGTTTATTCAAAATTAAATAAATAAAATTTAGCATTTCTGATATTTGTAAAAAATGTTGAACATCATAATAGATCCATTATTCATTAAAATAAAACAAACATATGAAACAATGAATTTTCTTTGGCAATATTCTAATTAAGCCTACACTTGCTCTTTAAAGTCCTGATTCTATTTTCAAACATGTTAAATATTACAAAATATGGATACAACAACAAATATAGCAGATCAAAATAATATACAATATCACATTTTGTACGTATGGTTGATATAAACACTTATGCATCCACATAAATACAGTTGTGTATAATTTCTATTAAATGTAAACTTAGCCTTGATCTGTGCTTGGATTACATACTGATTACAAATCAATCATGGGCCATATTCCTTTTACAAAAACAAGCAATTAAATACAGAAACTTTTCTTACCTGCACTCTGATTCTAACAATCTTAACTTATGTAAATGGTACATAAAATTGATATAAAGTTAAAATACTAACAATAAAATTAAAAATCCATAACTAAAAGTTTTAAAGTTTGTGTGTTTATGTACTTTTCATTACATTAAGTCAAAATATATAACTGACAACTAGTTAATGTGTCAACCTACTGCTTTAGGAAACTTGGATGATCTATTCCAGATTTGTGCCCTGTCCCTTGTTACCCAGCTGCCCTCATTGTGGTCCAGCAAACCCATGATGGATATGATTGAAAGGCCCTCTCAGTGATAAAAAATGAGAGATCACTCCTGCTATAGTTGAATTTTACAAATTCATGGATCTTGCATGCACTTAATTCTACTTTCATTACAACTAAAAATATAGAAGAAATCAGCGATGAAAACTTAATGTCAAGAAGTAGCATCATGCAGTGCATTCTGATTTATGTAAAAGTTCTCATTTGTACATAAATCAGAATGCACTGCAGGATATTACTACTTGTTTCATAACTTTTTATTTAAGTGATGTGTATTATTACATGGAAGAAAGATAAAAGGAATATATTTACTAACTATATTTGATGATATAACAAATAAGCCACAATTTAGCATCTATTCAGTCTATTCACAAATAAATTTCCTATTTTTCAATTAAAGACATCAGGTGATTAGTTTGTTGCATCATCATGAATGTTTTAGAGAATTTGCTCATAATGTCATAATTTAATAATTTTAACAAATATACTAATTGATTTAATAACTTAATATTTTTGTTTCATAATGTAAATTTTCTCCTAATTATTAATTAATTTTTATTATTTCAGATACTATTATTCCAAAGAAATCGAATTTTACTATTTTAGAATCGTCCTCAGCTACTGAAAATTATCCATTGACTGAATTGGAAAATATAAATTCTTCTCATATGCTTGCAAGTATTTCACAACCATGCTCACCTAAACTTGAAAGTGAACAGATTTCAGTATTAAATAAAACTTTAGAAGACATATCAAATACAACTAAATGGAACAATAGTGAAAATGTATCAAGAAGAAAATCTCAACGTTTATGGGAAAAGAAAACAATTGTTAAAAATCCAGATGATTCAGCAATTTTTATTTTTGAAAATTCTTTTCTTTCTTGTAAGTGAAATTTGTGTTTATAACACTTCAGAAAATTTTTTATAATCTTATTTGATTTGTTCTTATATGAAATATAATAACAATTTTGAAGTTGTGAAATGGGCTAAAAGTCTTCACAAATTCTTCTTGTCTTACACAAATCGTCTTCACACTTCACACATGTTAAAAGAACACAATTTTATTCTGTATGGTGCAACTGCCCTTCCCTTATTCTCACATTCATCCCTCCTTCTCTTGCCACCCAATTTGATACATCTAGTCACTTCAACAATAATGGAAAAACAAAAAAAAAACAATTTATGGACTGTCCATCCAGTTCCTAACCTGCCAACCCATTTGCATATGGAGAGTGGGAACATAAGCAATATTTCTTGTCTTAAAAAACACCTTTTTCCCAGAAATCTGTCAATCCAGTTAGTGTTGGATGAAAGTGGCATGGTTTTGTATGCTTTTGTCATACTGCATGTTGCATCCACATTTCAATTCTAGTCTATCAGTTACTCATGTTTTGGGGTTGACTTTTACAGTTGGTCTAAACCAGAATTTTGAGCTGAAAATCTTGAGTTTGATTTTTATGCTGGCATATACAGTATATTTTTCATTATGATTATATAAAATGTTGTACTTAAGTGCCATTATTTTTTGTTAGTTATCTTCATTTGATATTATTATGGTGCAAACATTATACAGGAATGTAACAGTATTGAGACTATGGATGATTAGCTTGATTTACAAATAGCTTGTGTAATGTCCATTTTCTACAAACTATTTATATTGTAAAAGCAAGTAATGTATTGATTTTTTCTTTTTGTTATTAATTGTTTACTCCTATAATTTATATATAAAATCTTGCAATCATTTCCTGACAAAACATGTATAGCAATATAAAGATAAATGTTTATCAATTTAAGACAACTTTCCAAGTAGTCAGTCACTGATTTATTTGGTAATGGTGCTTCAAAAAAAATTTATAGAAGACATTATAGAAAAACAATTTTTTAATATAAAATAATAATTTCTCTATACGGGTATGTGCTGCTTAACGACAGATTACATACAAGAGAGGCCCATAAGTTTATAAAAGATCTGAAAAACTGTAGTTGCCTGTATGAGTAGATGACTATACCATAAAAGTTTTGTTTAAGTACATATCACAATTGCTTAATGATGTATATCTCCATTATTAAGCAGCACACACCTGAATTAGAATAATTAATTAATTTTTAAAATTCAATTATTCAAAACAGTTGTATAGAATTTTTGTTGATAAATAAATGTGTTTAATTTTGATATATTATTTTCCATTTTAAAAAGTTCTTATATATTTTTGACTATGTTTTGAATTAAACAAACTAATATGCGAAATTAATGGAAAAGTTAAATATCCAAATTAATTTTCCATTTTTTTTATACAGTTACCAATTAATAAAATACTACAATGTATAAATTAAATTTATATATTTTTAAAATTTGTGTTTTAAGTTTATTTTTACTCTAAATACATTAAGATATTTTTAGGACAAAGATCTTAAGCAATATCTGACTTTTTTTTTAAAAGGAAAATGGTTCGTAATTTCCATTGTAATTCTTTTATAGTTATATTACATAATCTATCGATTCACTTGATCAAATTGCTGTTGTGGTTAAGGCATCATACTGTTCTGGGGGACTGAATCTGGACAACTAACTTCCCAGAAATTTTTTGTGGGCAGTATGTCTGGATGTGTCGGAAAAGCCCCGTCCTTCGAGACCCTATCACTCCCATTGTGGGCCTGGTTGAATCCACAGTGGGTAAGGAAAAAGGCCTCTTAGTGTCCGCAGGGCAGACAAGACAAAAAAAATAAAATATTATACTATATAATCTTGATTGTCTGAGCCTTGATTAACCAAGGTTCTGTGTATTGTCAGAGGTGAGCCTGTATGTGAATACACTATTTTTCTTACATTGTAATTTTTTATTTGAAATGCCCATTGGCCATTTATTTCATCCAAGGTAAAATCAGTCTGCATTATCTTGTACAATTGGGATACTACTATATAATATATAAAATAACAGAAAATTTAATATACAACTTTAAATTAGGATATTTTGTAAAATATGTGATAAATTTATATTAAAATAGTTGAATTTTGAAGAATTTTAAAATTGCTTATAGATAATTTATTAAAATTGTTATTTTTAGGTAAGATGCCAACTAAGAATAACTTTAAAAAAGTTCAACGGAAACAAAATAAAGCTATATTAAAGTTTTTAAATAAAGGAACAAAAACCGACTTGCAAACACTTCCTTTCATTGGAGAGAAGAGAGCTTTGGTATGTATTTTAAAGATTTTGTTTAATAGTTTTTCTATAAAGAACATGAAAATTAATAATACAAACTAACAACTTTTTAATAAAATACCATATTTTTTGCCATTGTATTGGATAAATCAATTTTTCAGATTACTTTTTTGGTAGAAATTATTGTTTACAGTATAAGATGCATTTGGCTTATAGGATTGCTTTTCAATTTTCAGATAAATTTTAGGTACAAAAAAATGCATTTTTATAAGGTGAAAAATAGGATATACAGTAATACCCCAAACTTACCGTGATAGGTGGGACCGAGAGATGATCGCGTAAGTTGGGGTATAATTTTGCATATAAATACATACAAATAATTTTTAATTGGGGCCAGAGACTAAAGAAAACAATAATTTAGAAAAAAATGTTTAATAAAATCTTATATAATACATATGTATAACAAATTATATTATTATACAATTTTTCACATTTACTTGATTATCACACCATAATTTTAACATTGTTTTCATCTCAGTGATAATACCGTGACGTTTACGAATGATGCTTGAATTTAAAGATTACTTAAGATTCTGCTTAAGAAGTAGTTAAATAATTAAGCCATTTTTCACAGCTTTGAGAATTTTTCTTTACTTTTTATAATTGTTCTGACCATTGATTCTGGTAGATCAAATTTCTTTGTCTATTCACAAATTTTCATTTTTGTATCGAAGTCTTTAATAATGTTAACTTTACATTCTAAAGATAAAGTTTTTCTTTCTTCTGGATCAAACAAGAAATCAGTTCTACTTTGTTTAGATGACATAGTAGAGTCTTTCAAGTCTCCATAGATATAACAAACACAGAAATAAATAACACAAAATAAACTGTAGTTATATGTCAATTCCATGCGGCATGTCCGAACATGTAAGTTGAACAATAGTGTGGGGGGAATTGAGTAATCAAGAGTTGCATGGCACTGAAACAAAAGATGAATCGACGAGATTTGAAAACTGCATAACTCGGGTAGCGTAAGTCGAGATATTACTGTATACAATTAATTTTTCGGCTTATTTAACAAATCTCCCAAATATAAACTTAAATTAAAAACAAAGAATGCTAAGAGGAATTATACACTTCAATTTTATGCCCCTTTTTATTTATTAATTGAATATATTGTCATTTATTTCTGTTTAAGGAATAAACTTAGTATAGCAAGTCCTCCCTTAACGTCATTGATAGGTTCTTAGAAACCATGACATTAAGTGAAATGACATATAACACAGCCAATTTTATCCTAGATTAATTGATATAAACAAGATGTAATTTTGTAATTAGTAATCTAATTGGATCCTGTTTGCAATCTCTGGCATTTACTTCCCATCTTGTAGAACTAGAACCCCATCCCTCACCAAATTGCAGCAACAGCTTGTGAACGTGTTAGATCATTAAGGGCACTAAATTAACATGATTTGTTACTTTGCATAAGCAATCAATTGTTTTCTTTGTTCTGATACTTCCTTAACTTACATAATAAGTGGTCGATACATTGGGGTATTGTTATATGTGCCATTGTTAAGGTAGTTCAAAATATTCCTGTATTTAAATAAAAAAAACCACATAAATAATTAATAGAACTCAATTGGAATTTTTCCTATAGACTTACAATGGAAATATGAAATTCAACATACTGTCATTATTGGATTTTTAAAAAATTACACAAGATATATAGTTAATTTTTTGAGAAAAGGGGGAAAGCTCATATATTAAAAAAAATTGGCCATTGGCAAGAGCTTCCCCATATTTTGAATATCTGATAGTTTGTGCTTGTTTGCATACATTTTTACAATGCAAAGTTCTCTCACTGACTTGACATGGAGAAGAATCTGTTCTAGGGCAAAATTTTAAAATTCAACCTCCATCACAAGACATCATTTTATTAGTTCTATTAATGTACAAAATTTCTGACAAATCTGTCAAGTCTCACCAAACATGTTTCAGCAATTTATCAATTTGAATCACTGCCAAGGAAGCTTGCTCACTTCATTTGCTGCACTTCAATCAATTTTACTGTTTATAAAGAAAATTCAATAATAATAATAATAATTGTAAATGATTACAAATGTACTTGAACTTTCTTTGATGATGATATGTCACTGAAAGTCATTTTGTTATCTTACTGTACTTTATATAAGTTATTCTGCAAGATATGCTACGTGATTCAATTTATTACACTTCTTACATTATTATAATAGAGTTCAACTACACTTCAACTTTTTTTACATTCTGAGATATATTATTTTATGATTTTATGTGAATATTTGAATGTTATATTCACATTAAAAGAATTATAATTTTATAAATGCCTTTTTTTAAACTTGTACATAACTTTTCAATTATTTGCATTTTTAATAGCATTTTACAGATTTTGACAAAATTTTTGTATTTAAAATGAAAAAAAAACAATTTTGCAATAATTAAATAATAAAAAAAATTATGCAATAATCTTCAAGTTAAATCTTTAATTATGGCTTAATTATTTAGTTATTTGGCATATTTTTTTATTAATCCAAGATTTAAATTGCATTATTCATATCTGAAACTTAATGCTACCTCTCTGCATGATGGGTGCCTAAGATCTTGCAAGAATGTTATATTGTTACATCATGCATTTATGTGATATATCTACATTTCTTATGACTTGTTGTAACAAGTTTCTAGTTATATCATTAGGCAGAATTTTACTTCAAAATTCCAACTACTTTCAAAATGAAGAGAGTAAGAAGACCTTGGCAATCTGAATTAGCAATTACCACAAAGATGTATCTAACTATTATTAGTTAAAGACTGCAGAAGGAATGGACTTCTAGAAGGTATAAAAAATATGGAAGTACCAAATATATGAAGATGTCTGGTCAGCCATTGTCCAAAAAAGTCAAAGTATCGACCATCTCAAATGTTTAAGTGCAACCCAAACTTGTTGGAAGTGTCCTACTGCTAATATGAATGGCATTCCACACCAAACATTACATTGGTTAAAGGTGAATAAATTAGGAATAAAATCAGCAGTTATAAATCCTCATCACAACAAAGACCAGAAAATAACATCTTTTTTTGACAGTATCGCAATACAGTAGTTGTTTTAACTACTGTATTGCGATATTGTCAAAAAAAGAGCATAAAGAGCATAGTTAAATTATGGAAAAAACATCATGCCGGATGATGATAACCATGTGCCTGCTGGTTCAAGTAACATACCTGGCAAGAAGTGCTATCACTACACTAATAGAACTGATATATCAGATAAGAATAGGTTCAAAGGAAAGAAATTTTTCAAGAAATACTTTATGACAAACCATTGATGAAATAGGAGCAGTGACAGAACTACACATTGACTGTGTTAAGCAGATCAAAGTTCTGGAGCTGTTGAGTATTTTTCTGCTGAACGCCCTCTACAGTAGTGCTCTTTTGGAACATGTTTGGTGTTTTGATATCACATTTGGTAGCATTTTTCATTTATGCTACCTGAAACTGACTAATGAAGCTTTTTGTTCCAATGCAACGTTACTTATCGTTCAACAGATCCAGGTTGCTACATAACAGCTACCAGTTGCTCAGTTACAACTGTTCAGTCTGCTGAACATAGCCATTCACTGTAACTATGAACTCTGACAACTACTTAAATGATTTAAGAAATAATTAAATGCATTAAGAAGAGACTCATTTCTTTAATCTTTCTTTTAATTATTAAAGTCGAGAGTTTATTCTTGCCTGATACGATGTCATACTATGCAAGAATTAACAAGTCACAGACTACTCAAGAAGCCAAAAAATTAATTTTATAGAAAAGCAGGAAAATGTCCCTAAATACCTCAAGCGGAATCTTTTGGGCATACTCTAGATCAGTGTTTTTCAACCTGTGGGTCGCGACCCCCTGAGGGTCGCAAAGCCTTACACGGGGGTCGCGGGTAGAAGAAAAAAACAAGTGTTTGTAGGTCCTACACTACATTAAAAAAACTACAATTTCAGCGAGAATTACGGCCCACCCCAGAAGATGATAGCGGAAAAAATGTTGAGCTGATTTGCAAAAGGAAATAAAAAGTAGACGCTGAAAATTCAGATCCTAAAAAAAAGAAAAAAAAGGGTCAACAGTTCCCTGTGTTTAATATTATAATTAAAGGAAGTTTCATACTTTGTGTGTTAAATTATTGTCGATTCTTCCGAAATTTTCATTTTAATTAATAATCTATACTAATATAATAAAGAGGTAATGTTTGTATGTATGTTAGTTTGTATGCAGCAGGTAATCTCCAAAACTACTCATCCGATTTCAAAAATTTTTTCACCAATATTTAGAATGGAACTTCAGGATGGACATAGGCTGTATATTATTCCGTTAAACATGGGGGATGGACAGTTCTTTACGGTAAGCCTTACGGAGAAGGCTTACCGTAAAGAACTCTGCTTCTATTTATACTATTTTAGATGCGGTTTTTTGCGTTTTTGATTGCGTTTTAATAGAGTACGTCAACAGAATGTACACGAAGGGATTTTTCGATATTCCCCCCGCGGGGGAGAGGGACAGGATTAAGGCTTACTGTGAAGAACTTGGCTTATTATACTATTTTAGATGCGGGTTTTTGTGCTTTTGATTGCGTTTTAATAGGGTACGTCAAGAGAATGTACACTAAGAAAAAATTTTTTGAAAAATTTTCCCCCACGGGGGAAGTGTTATACATTTATAATAGATACATTTTGAGCCACAACAAGACGTGGCGGGGTCTGCTAGTCAACAATAATTTGTCTCAACAGAAAGAAAATTAAATACATAGTTTTTAAAATCACTGATATAGTTTTAATATGGCCCTTGGGGGGTCGCCAGAATATTTTAACTTGTAAAGGGGTTGCGTATTCAAGAAGGTTGAAAAACACTGCTCTAGACCAGGAGTTTGCAACCTTTTTCGTGTATTGACCACTTCTGAGAAGAATTTTTTTTCTATTGACCTGTTTCACTATACAGGGTGTAACAAAACTCTTGACCCTAGATTCTGTCTGTAAGATATTGATGCACAGTAACCTTAAAAATCCTCTATAAACATGTTTCAAAATTGCTTTATTTTTGAGATATGGCCTGCCCAAAAAGGTACCTTGGCAGAAAATTTTAATTTCTTACCAAATTAATATATCACTAGTTGTAAACTTTTTTAATTTTGCATTTTTTTCCCCATCCCTCAACAGATTGGGATAAGTAAATGCAGCCCAAGCAAACCCAATTGTAACAAATGTAAACAAAACCTTATCCACTCTAAGATTTTTCAGTAACCATATACTTTACACTTACATATATATATAGCAAACTCTTGATTTTTTCATGCTAATTAGTGCACAGGTGTACACAGAAAATCAGAAAACACACTCCAAAATAGCCCTCTAAACTAGAAAAAAAGAAACAATAAGGGACTTTACTACAGCATATATACAGATCAACTTCATTATAATGCAATACAAGTGTGAGTCCCAAGTTTCATAAGCTAAAATGTGTGTTTAGTCAATAAATATAAAATGCAGATTTCTTCTATTTTAAAAATATTGCATAGAAATTTAATTTTTACATTTTTTTCAAATTATTTTAATTTTAGGACTAGTAGGGATTTTTTCCCCTTCAAATTTGCTTTTTGTCTACTGCAAAATAATAATCCAGGGCTAATGACTCACCTCACTTCCATCTCTTACAATTGACAGTCAAGGGAGGAAAGAAAAGCTGTATGTTGCTTATGATACTTTGTCATTTTACAGTAATTCTAATATAAGTAAACGATAATTTATATGTATTGCTCAGAACATCCTTTGCAAACACAGATCTTTACTTGCTATAAAAACAGTTGAAGCACAATACTCATATTAAAATAAAGCTTCAGTTTATAAAAAGTAGAAAACAAACAACACTATCCTCTTAGCAGGAGATTTAAAATTGATTCCTAAGGAGTGGATGCCGACTCCATTCTAGACAATCAAAACTTAAGAAATCAATTATTTCAAAAGAATATGGAAGCCAATTGCCTGGAATGCCACTGAAGATCATGACGTAGCAATTGTATGAGGCATGCAGAAAATCTTAAACAAGATTGAACAGGAAGGAGTTTGTGCGCCACTGAGTATAAAATTAAAGGACAACAAAACATTAGTTATTGTGATATTTTATTAGTAGATGAATTTATTGTGTTTCACTCTTGCATAGGCATCCCCATTATTTCAAAAAAAAAAAATTGTTTCTTGCTGTTTTTATGACATAATGTGAGTCTTATGAGTTTTGGAAAGAGATGACTCCAAAACTCATAAGACTTACATTATGTTTTATCTGTAAACTTTATTATGTGATTCTTTAATCATTTTTGAAATTATATTTTCATAAGGAAGGAATTAGAGTAAATTCTTTTTAAAACTTACTTTTGAATACTGCTCATCACCCAGCTAATATTTGCAAAACAGGCAGTACTCTACTGTGTTTTCTTGTTGTTGACAAAATACTCTCACGAGTACCAATCTACTCCATAACCATAAGTAAGTACACCAGGTACTAAAATAATACATGCTAATAATATGCAAATTAGTAATATATAGTTTCCTCAAATTTCGCTACTAAAAATTTAATCTGAATGTTCTTTGTCACGAATATCGACTTCGTTATTGTTGCATACAGCATCAGGCAGAAAACAGGAAAAATGAAATTGTCGTCAAAACATGTTAGGACGTCACAGGCCACAGATTGCTTGTGAATGCATTCGGGTTTTGTTTTTCATCTATGTTAGCAAACCCCGTTGTAGATTGGCTACGCCTATAAAGTGGAATTGTAGTTGGCCTCGTAGCCATAATACAAGGCATTAATTAACTAAGCATTCAACTAACAGATCAAGAAAATTATATGCAATATTGTAATGTCACAATGATGATTTAATTATTGTTCTTTATTTTAATTGCTTTGAGAAGATTTACCATAAGATTTTCATTCCTAGATACAGTAACTAACTTGCCTTCAAAGACAATCACAAACATGATTTGTTACATATAATTACTGAAATTCATCTGCATTAACAATTTTAATTAATCAATAAAATTCGTCATTTTTTATTGACAAGAATTCCAAAGAAAAACTGCAAAGGATTGATATTCAGGATTAAACAAAAAAAATTTTTTTTGAGGCAGAATGCACTTTGATTCATCTTAAATATAAAAGATGATAGACTAATCATCCTTAGAACAAAAAAAAATATTCAACATAATCTTGAAAATTAACAAAAATTTAATCAAACCAATGTCCAGAAAGGTTTGCCTACCAAACTGCAGATTTCTTTTTCCTTAAGGAATAGATTCCCAAATTTCACCCTGTAGATAATTCGTGAAAGCGATTTTAATCACGTCCGTAATTAAAAGGTAGGAAAAAAAAAATTGATTAATCACCTGTTCCTGACGTTTTGAAGGATGGACGATCCTACTTGACGCCTATAAAAGCTGTAGACTGGAAAAATGTATAACTTACCTGCATCAGTTTTCATCCCTGATGATAGATGAGGATGCAAAACTTCCATCCATACCTTTGCGATTGGAACGTTAGTTTGTCGGACCGAAACTTTGATGCGTTTTCTGTTCATTTCATAGGATATTTTACTGTATTAATAAACGCACGTTTTCATTTTCAGGCTATCGAAACTCACAGAAACACTCACGGACCCTTCAAGTCCTTAAAAGAACTTCGTGAAGTCGAAGGATTTTCCGAAATCTTTTTAAATCGCTNAAATAAAACTTTAGAAGACATATCAAATACAACTAAATGGAACAATAGTGAAAATGTATCAAGAAGAAAATCTCAACGTTTATGGGAAAAGAAAACAATTGTTAAAAATCCAGATGATTCAGCAATTTTTATTTTTGAAAATTCTTTTCTTTCTTGTAAGATGCCAACTAAGAATAACTTTAAAAAAGTTCAACGGAAACAAAATAAAGCTATATTAAAGTTTTTAAATAAAGGAACAAAAACCGACTTGCAAACACTTCCTTTCATTGGAGAGAAGAGAGCTTTGGCTATCGAAACTCACAGAAACACTCACGGACCCTTCAAGTCCTTAAAAGAACTTCGTGAAGTCGAAGGATTTTCCGAAATCTTTTTAAATCGCTTCCTTAAAATGAATGCTATTACGTTAGATTAGGGAATGGCGCATCGGTATTTGTTCTTAAACGCGCCATTTTTAATTACAATGATGATCTTATCCGTTTAAGTGAAATTTTAAACGGTTTATTTATATATTAACACGCTTAAAACATAATTGTTTCATCAATGTCATTAATTATCGAAAAGAAATTTTAATGCTTCCTGTAACTGTTTTTTTTTTGTACCAGTAAGCTTAACTGTAATAGAAATAATAATAATAATAAAAGGATTTTTAACATTTGGTAAACGTGTTGGAAATATAAAATTAAGACTCGTTGACTCAAATTTATGGCAAGTAGCGTAGACAAATTATCTGGAATATTTCAAAAAAAAAAAAAATTCAGAAATACAATCAAATATTTTTTTGAAGACAAATTAAAATCAGAAAGGGTGTTCATCCCTATGATTGTATGGACAAGGTATTAAAATGCAGCGAAAGGCAATTACCTCCAAAACAGGCATTTTATAATGAATTGAACGAAACTGATATATCAAATGAGGTATACAATCATGCTCAGAGGCGTGTCTAGGGTGAGGCAAGTAGGGCACGTGCTCCGAGCGCCTTTCAAAGGGGGCGGGCAAAATCGCCAATTATTAAATTTAAAAATGAAAATAAACCAATTCGTATCAAACAAACTTGTTCGCGACTCACCCACTCCTCGAATGAGCGAGAGGAAATGAGTGGTGCGTGCAGGTGGTGCATTAACTAGCACTAGCGAAGCGAGGGGGGAGCAAGCGGTTTATCATGCCACGGGCGCCACTCGCAGAGGGCGCCAAATGGCCTCCAAGACAAACAAAATTTCTTTCTGGAAAAGGAAGTGCCAGTCTGGAGGGGTGCCAATAAAGTGTCGTGTCCTGGGCGTCAGTTATGTTCACTACGCCACTGGTCATGCTATAAAAGCATGTCACGAATTTGGTATTAAAAATATGAGAGAATATTCTGGTCTGTATGTGAAAACGGATGTTCTAATATTTGCTGATATATTTGAGAATTTCAGAGACGTGTGCATTAACGTGTATAAATTAGAGTCAGCATGGTATTACACAGCAATTCGATTATCGTGGGATGCTATGTTAAAAACAACAGAAGTTAATTTAGAATTATTAACTGATTATGATATAATTTTGATGCTTGAGAAAGGAATCAGAATCCATTACAAAAATATAAAACAGTGTCTGCAGATAAAAATCGAAGCTTGGAAAGATACATAGAGATTTGGAATTTAAACAATCAGATTGGTTGAAGAAATATACAGACCTATGAATATTAAAATGAGAACAAATGCCAATAGCTATTTCGAAAAAGATTTTTTAAACTAATGGTTAACTATATTTGAAAAGACAATCGAAAATATTAGAAAACGAGTTGATATCAAGTTATGTAGTGATACAAAAAAGGTTGAAAAACTGATTTCTAAACCTAATTTCAAAGATAGAACTATATTTGCTGAAAATCTTTCAGCCATTCACATGAATAAAACAAAAATATATTTTAATAAATTCATATATGTGGGAATGTGCATATTACATCTATCAAAAACTTATTATTATTATTAAAAACTTATTGTCCGTTATAATGTTATGAAACCAAAATGTGGTGATAATATAAAACTGCTATATCAAGACACTGATTCTTACATTTATGATATAAAACTGATAATATCTACCAGGATATGAAACGAATGATTAATTACTTTGATACATCATATTATAAAGATGATAATGCCTATGGCATACAAAGAATTAATAAAGTTTTGAGTAAAATGAAAGTTGAGAACAAAAGATAAGATAATGACTAAATTTGTTGGATTAACAGCTAAAATGTATGCTTTGAAAATTGAGAATGAAGTGGAAAAGAAAGGCAAAGGCATTAAGAAAGTGTTGTTAAGAATAGAGTAGCATTTGAGAATTATAAAGACTTAATAAAACGGAGCAATATAGAACAATAAATCTAATTTTAAGTAAAAAGCATGAACTTTATTCTGTGAAGGTATACAACTTAGCATTATTACCGCATGATGATAAGAGGCATATATTAGAACAGTAATGGCGAACCTTTTTGTGTTCGCGTGCCATATTGTAAGCATACTTAACTTTAATGATGTTTATGCGTGCCAAAGTTTCAGACTTCAAATAACGATATTTAAAGAAATTAAACGAATGTGCTTTAATTAGAATAAATGTAAAAAAGCTGATTGAAAAAAGGGTGATCGGGTGATAAACCGAAAAGATGATTGAAAAAGAAATATCGTATGATACAATACGTGCCATTTTGGGCACGCGTGCCATAGGTTTGCCACCCGTGTTAGATGATCGTATTCCTACATTAGGTCAATTTTTTTTTATATAAATGGACTCTAGAATAAAGAGTACAAATGTATGGGATAATTTTTCATAACGAGAGAATTTAACAAAAGATTTAAGGAGAGAATTGAAAGATGAAGTTAATTGGGATTCAATATCTCAAACGCAAAAATTGTCTGAATTCTTTATTAATGAATTTATAGATAGAGTGAACTGGAAAAAATATCAGAACACAAAAGTCTCTCTGGAAATTTTATAAGACAACACGTTGAAAATTTTAATTGGCAACTGATTTCTACACATCAAACATTATCTTCAGAATTTATTCTAGAATATGCAAATAAAGTGGGTTGGGATGCTATATCTCGATTTCAAAATTTAGATGACGACTTTATTAGGAAAATTGTCTTAAAATTCAATTTTTTCAATTAGTGTCTTACCAATGTGTAATTTAGATCATGAGAATAAATTGCCAGTATTTACCAGAGTTGTTATCACTTCCCATCAAAGAACCATCCTGTTTTCAGTTCTGGGCAGATATAACCACTGGAATATAAAATCATATCATTTACATCTTTAATATTAAATTCATATTTCGCTGATTCCTTTTCATCAACGATAACTTTATCTTCTCTATGCTGTTTGTACTCAAAACTTTCGATTTCGTTGTTGAAATAATTAGGAAGAGTTATATCCCAAATCTTTTCCATTTATTAGTATAAAAATTCCTTGAATCCTGTTCCATATAAACTTTGTTTACTTATAATATTCCTTACTCTGTTTTCCACAGTCGGAGATTTTTTAGATAAAATACTCTCGAGTTTATTTTTAACAATCTTATCCTCAATAACAGATTTGGCTTGACTGCCTATTATTTGTAATAACTTCTTACTGGCTGTCTTAATTGCATCGGTAAATGTATTTCCTCCATAATATTTTTTACTTCGAACTAACAGTCTATGTTTATTATAATTCATTTATTTAGTCTAAAATTAAACGAAAAACAACTCTGTTTATTAAGGTCAATTAAATTATCATCCTGATCAGTTATCCACATCCGAATTCTATAAATATAATGATTTCTATTAATGTCCACAAATATGGGATTAATCTCTTCAATTTTTGTCAAACTTCCAGGTGGATGAGACGGTGTAAAAGAATAAATAATATCACTCGTGAAATCATTGTACTCTACTCCACTGATTATATCGCAATGAATATGGATATCATCGATTCCTTTTGAAATATTTGCTATATATTTTCCTTTCTGTTCTTCATCTTCATATATCTTTGGTTCGAAACCTAATAACTCGTGGAGTTTACCTTTACTCAGATCAATTTTGGATTCCGAAGAAATTCACATACACATTAATTTCAGAGCTAATTTCGAATTATTTACGGGTATTGGATTTTTAAACTCGATTGTAAAGTCTTCTGATTTATCAGCATTTTTCGAATCTAAGACAATTAGTTTCATTTATATAAAATAAAATTCTCATTAAACTCGCTCTGTTCTTGTGTAAATGAGTATAAGACTTCAATGGGAGCTTTATTTCTTTCTACTATGTATTTCATGCAATAGTAACCACATGTAACAGATGTTGGATTCCGAAGAAAACTAGAGTTATATCTTATTTCTTTTTTAATGTTTTTAAATATTTTATGATTTCTTTTGGAATTATCTCTTTTCAATCTTACATTTTTTAACTTATATTCTCCAAAAGGATCAATGAATTCAACAAAAGGATATTTAGGATCATTATAATAACAAACCCAATGTGTTCCATCTCCAGTTGAAATATCTAAATTATACCGTTTTCAAATTTTCTAATTGTTTTCGTTAATAGATCAACTGTAAACACACCTCTAAAACCTTTTTCGTTTTTTATATTATCATTTATCGTCTCGTTGGATATTGCCAATTCTAAATCACTCCTTTCCCCCTTAATTTGGAATTTGGCCATATTGGACCGAAAGGAGCTTTGGTAAGAAGTAGGACACCTTGTTTTTTTTATTACATCCTGATCCAGTTACTTTATCTAATGCTTTTTTTTTTTTGCTCCCCGTCCTCCAGCGCCTGATAAAGTTCCTGTAGCAAAAAGTTGTTAGAATAGGAATTAAAAATGGTAAGAAGCCTCCATTCTTTTTTAATTGCGTTCTACTTATTTTTATTCTCTTTCCTTCATTGATATTTTTTATTTGAGTTTTTGTTAAAAACATGATTAGGAGGTTTAGATTTATCTATTTGTAAATATATTTCTTCTCCATTCTTAAAGGCTGGTTTCAATTTATTTTTTTGAGATTCGCTGAGATATAATTACTCATTTAATTAGATAAAAATTTTGATAATATTCTTTCACCGTATCCGCTGTTATTTCTCCCGAATTTAATAATAGATCAAGAATTTTAACAATTTTATTATATACTTTTTATCTCCACCTAACAGCTTATCAGTTAACTTCTCTAATTCACTAACTAATCCTTCTCCACTAATTTTAAATGACTGTGAAAAAGACTTTAAAACTTTTAATTTTTCTCTATGAAGTTTAAATAAATCTAAATCAGACTGATACAAATTTAACTGCTCTTCTAACGCTTTTCTTTGAAAATCAACTGTAGATTTCTTTAATTTTCTATTTACTTTTGCTTTAAATGGACCTAATTATTTCGTTCTTCTTTCAGCTTTTTCAAGCA